ATATATATATATATATATATATATATATATATATATATATATATATATATATATAAATATTTTTCATCTATTGAATCTAAGGTCATAAAAATATTTTGTAAATATATTCGTAAATATATTTATGAAACATTTTGGTAAATATTCATAAAATATCCAAATAAATCTTATAAATATTATGTAAATATTTTATAAATATTTTATGCTGTCTGGGTTAATGAATGAAAAGGATAGAGAATAGTAGTAATTAATGTAATATGTTCAATAAATGTACAAAAATGTGTATTAAATATAGTCGAAATATTACAATCCAAGCAAAGAAAGACATAACTGCTATATAACATAGAAGTAACAAGAGTACATGTTACGTCTATGTTATATAACAGTTATATTTTATGTTTGCTGGGATAATTGTAGTAAAAAATATGGAAAAATTAATTTATTAATGAGTTGTAGATGGATACTGCAAATGTGGGAGTTATTGGAGGTTTGTTTATAATAACAGCATCTGAAGTTAACTTTGAGGACTCTTCATCCTCTAATAACTGGCCATGTTCCATGTACTAAATCGATTTCAATCAATGACATTTTTTATATTATTTGATATTATTATTAATAATAATATTAATAATACTGTACGTTTTTGCATATAAAAGAATAATACTTAACGTTATAATTTATATTAATATATATTAGTAACGCTTGGTGTCGGGACTAAAATGTATATGTTTCTTGGCGTGCAAATATGTGTACATATACATATGTACGCGTAGCCAAATCCTTAAAGTAGAACGCGCGTTTTTTGTACTTATGGGTAACAGGTACTGGTTTACATTCACACTTGAATGTACGGAAGTCTTCCATAAAAATTTGCGGGTCTGGGATAAAATCGTTATTTGTTACAAATTCGCTGGGAACTCTTAACATGGTCCCAAATAAAAATTCGGCTGGTGACGCGCCAATACCAAGCCTAACTTGAGTACGTAATCCTAATAGGACTATGGAAATCATATTAACCTAGTTAGGGGAGTTATTGCATGTTAACGCTGCTTTTAATGTACGATGCCAGCATTTGACTAACCCGTTTGTTGCGGGGTGATACGCCGTCGTGCGTATTCTTTTACAACCGGTCAATTTTAGAAGCGCGTCGAATATCTAGCTTTCGAATTGTTTACCTTGATCGGTAGTTAATATCTTGGGAGCTCTGTATCGCGCTACCCAGTGATCGTAAAACGCGCGTGTGACTGTTTTGGCGGACACGTCCGAAATTGGGAGTTTCAGGCCACCTAGAAAAACGGTTTACAATTGTTAGACGGTATCAAAAACCATTATATGGTGGTAGAGGGCCGATTAAATCCATATGAACGTGATCGA